GCAGAACCCGCTGCGCGTTCCTCCTCTCAGGTGGGACCCTGTGCTCCGAACCTCTTCCTGCCCAGCTCAGGTTCGCGTGTCTGCAAGCTGACAGCTACCGGCCGCAGGGACACCGGGGCCCTGAGGTTAAATCCTTGGTCACCAGTGCTCATGGGCGGGCCCGGCCCGTTTATGCCTTAACAACTTAGGGGCTTAGAAAATCAAAACAGCTCACAAGTGATGTGATTCATGTGTGATTGAGTAAATAGCACACGCTCTTAATGGTCGTGCTTCACGAAAACCCGATGCATGGAAATCTAAATATGTGAAAATTTTAAGTAGAAATGACCGCTTTAAAAGGGAAATCCCCTATAAAAAAAAAAGAAATTTAAAATGAAATTGACAACTCATTCTAATTATAGAATGGTCATGAATCCCTTTGAAAAGTTTTGAACTTTATGACTAACGTTTATTGAAATGTATTGTGTGCCCTGCACTGGGCTTTTCATGGATTTTACCCGGCCACGCAGCCATTCTGTGGTGTGGGCACTGGATTGTTTCCATCTGAAAATTCATCCATTTTTAACAATTTTTTATTGAATGTATTTGGGATGACATTGGTCAATAAAAGTATGTAGGTTTCACAAGCACCGTTCTATAATGTGGTTCCCACCGCAAGTCGCGTCTGTTTCCATCACCATGTATCCCCCCCAAACCCCCTTTTCCCTCTGGTAATTGCCATACTGTTGTCTCTGTCTATGAGGGGTTTTTTTGTTTTGTTTTGTTTGCTTAATCCCTTCACCTTTTCCACCCAGTTCCCCAACCCCTGTCCCCTCTGACAGCTGTCAGTCAGTTCCATGTATCCATGTCTCTGTTTCTATTTTGTTGGTTACTTTGTTTTGTTCATTAGAGTCTACATATAGCACTTGTCTTTCGCTGCCTGGCTTATTCACTTAACATTCTACTCTCCATGTTGGGTTCATCCATGTTGTTGCAAAAGGTAAGATTTCCATCTTTTTTAAGGTGAGTAGCATTCCACTGTGTAAATGTCCCACAGCTTTTTTATCCACACATCCACTGATGGGCACTGAGCTGTTTCCAGATCTTAGCTATTGTAAATAACGCTGCGTGAACATAGAGGTGCATACATTCTTTCGAATTAGTGTTTCGGGTTTCTTCAGTAAATTCCCAGAAGTGGAATCGCTCGCTGGGTCAGAAGCCAGTTCCAGTTTTAATTTTTTGAGGGAACTCCACACGGTTTTCCATCGTGGCAGCCCCTGTCTGCTTTCCCACCAGCAGTGCATGAGGGTTCCCTTTTCTCCCCCTCCTCTCCAGCACTTGTTGTTTGTTGACGTATTGATGATAGCCATTCTGGCAGGTGTGAGGTGATACCGCAATGTGGTTTTAATTTGAAGCTGAGCTTCTTTTCATATATCTGTTGACCATCTGTATTGTTTGGGTCCAGCCCCAGCAGGTCCAGGGGTTCCCCAAGGTGTGGACGGAGTCGGAAAAGAATGAATGACACATAGGCAGCGTTCAGGTGATCATCATAGCAAGGTTCTCCAGCCAAGTTCTGTGTTTTATTGTCTTGTTACATCTGTATTTATACCAGTTGATTTTAATCCTATCAATTTCTATTTCAAAGGTTAGGGCGTTTCTTATCTCCATTCCAGGGAGTAAAGATTATGTAGCTTAAGCGTGATTGTTCGTAGTTAAAGTGATTAACTACCTGCCTGGCACTTAGTTAAGGGGTTTTATTCCCTCCCTAACTTCAGGGAAAAATCCCTACCTGGGGAAACAACCTTTCTCGGAGAGGTGACCTTGGTTAAAACACATAGCTCCAAGAAGGGGAGCAAACATATTAAGAACAGTATGCCATATACGCCAGGTCCCTTGAAACATATGCTGTGCAGATGTTTCTTCCCTGCAGCGACTGTGTCAAGCAGCAAGGATGGACCGGCTTCCGGCACTGTATGTCCTCTTTGGAGAAGTGTCTCTTCAGATCCTTTGACCATTTTTTAAATTGGATTGTTTGTTTGTGTGTGTGTGTGTGTGTGTGTGTGTGTGTGTGTGTGTTTTGTTGTTTGTTTTTTTTAATGTATTTTTTTATTGATTTTTTTTACAGAAAGGAAGGGAAAGGGATAGAGAGTTAGAAACATCGATGAGAGAGAAACATTGATCAGCTGCCTCCTGCACACCTCCCACTGGGGATGTGCCTGAAACCAAGGTACATGCCCTTGACTGGAATCGAACCTGCGACCTTTCAGTCCGTAGGCTGACACTCTATCCACTGAGCCAAACCGGTTAGGGCATTTGTGTGGGTTTTTTTTAAGTTGAGTTTTATAAGTTGTTTATAAATTTTGGATATTAACCCCTTATGAAAACTCATCCATTTTATCTAATCAGTGGGGTGTACTCCTGAAGCTTAATAACAGATATAATAATGTATGTCAACTGTAATTGAAAAATAAAAAGTGATTTAATTTCCAAAAAGAAGAAAGAAAGAAAGAAATCTGCACCCTTAAAAAAAAATTCATCATTTTAAAGACGAATTTCTGTAAGGCCGTCCAGCAAGCGACAGGACTGCATTTGAACTCTGCCAGTTTCAGTTGGCTCCAGAGCCTCGCCCTTAACCATAACCTAGAAGGCCACTTCACAACCTATTAGGAATGTATCTGTAGGGTAATTACAGGTTAGTTACTTTAATAATGGCAGAAATGAAGGCCGGGATGTTCCTCAAATAATAATCAAGTCACAGACATAAGAATTAGTGAAGGGCTACCAGGCCGCACATCATCCTCCTTGAACTTCTGGGCACTGTATGAGCAAGGATACTCTTCTCATTCATGGTTCTGTTTCCTGTCCTGTTATCTCAAATACAGCTGACCCCTGAACAACACGAATTTGAACTGCCTGGGTTTATTTAAACGGCGTGTGTTTTTCAATCCGGGTATAGTGGGCCCTCCTATCTCTGGGTTTCACGTTCATGGATTCAACCAACTGCTGATAGAAAACAGGATTTCTCGTCTGGAGTTGGGAATCAGTATTTTTGAATTTGCAAACATGGAGCTCAGACTTAAATACTACCTGGGTTTTCATTTCTGACTGCAGGGTGGGTGCTCCTAACCTTGGGGTTGTTCGAGGGTCAGCTGTACCTCCTTTCCTGACCTCTTGAGAGTTAGGAGATGAAAAGCTTCTATTTTGAAGTTGGTGTTAGGAGTTGGTAAGTAAGGATTGAGATAATTTGAATAACTTTTAAAAAGTCTGGAAAATCCATATTACTGAAGAAGAACTGAGTTCTAAAAAGGGCGGGTGCTGGGTCCAAGGTGATGGAATCAGAGTTGGAATGTAAATCCACATGCATTGAGGACCCTTACGGCTGCACTGGTTTGGTTTTCACGCTGTACTCCCTTTTACCTCAGACTTTAAAATATTTGGAAATTTTCTTTTAAAATAATGTTGTCCATTTTTGAAGTTTTAAGACTGGAGGTGAAGTGGTTTCAGGCATAATCTCTACTTCTCTCAACTCCGTGAAGCTTCTCTTGATAGAATCCCTTGATAGAATTATTTTAGGAGACTCAGGTTATATCCTAGTATCTGCAACAAGCAAACACTCTGGAGTCAGACAATTGATGATTTGCTATTGATAGCTGTTTCCTCATAGGAAAATGGGGAGTGATTCCTACCCTAACGGGGGTTTTTAAGATAAAATATATCATCTGTTAGAAATATAGTAATCTTGTGTCCTCAATCAAAAGCAATGAAAGAAAAAAAGGAAAATCTCTTAACCTTAGAATTACTCGTAGGATATTGTGCAAACGTTTGGTCAGGAATTTTTCTAAATGTACACTTCCCTTCTTCTCTCAGCTTTTCCCATGCCTAACACTGTATCTGCAGTAAGGCCCATTTCTTTCCTGTTCTTTCATATTCTGTTTGTCCAGTCTTCTTCATTTAAGTATCTCCTGAAATCCCATCCCTGCCAATGTTTTCCCCAATGAATTAGAAGAGAAATAATAAATACTCTATAAGTTTGCTTTTGCATTTACAAGGACAGTTGTGATTTCAAATAGTCTGCCGTGTTTTTCCTATAAACCATCACTTGTTAGGGCATGTGTTCTGATTGTTGGTTAGGCCGTATACATCCCCACCAAGCCCCAGCTTGCCATGTCATCATTTCCCTCTTCAGTACTGCTCCCACAACACACAGCTACCTTACTGCATAAGATGAGCTCTTTTGACATGTGCCCTACCTTCTGTATGTTATTCTGATCTGGGACAGAAAAATACAGGATACCTATAAGATCTAGGTATAAAGGACCCCAGGCTAGGATTGGGGTACAGATACAAAGACAGTTGAAGAAAAAACTGAGAGCTAGCAGT